AGAGAGAGAGAGAGAGAGAGAGAGAGAGAGAGAGAGAGAGAGAGAGAGAGAGAGAGAGAGAGAGAGAGAGAGAGAGAGAGAGAGAGAGTTGCATGCCTGGCTGCTGGGCGGCATGCTTGCAAGTCTGAAAATCACCAACAGGAAGAGATGACAACAACATGTACAGAGACGACGCAAATCAACTCAGACATTGTGAACAGAGAATCAAGCATCACAAGGCGTGGAGGGGTCCAATCATAGAAGAAAACTTCCCTCTCCGCGCACAGATAAAGGGCTGACGGTAGTGAAGAAGATGAAGAGGAAAGAATAATATAATAATACTGATTATAACAAGAAGAGCCAGTGCAGCTCCACCTGTTTGAAATAGGAGTACGGGTGACTGTGCAATCATTGGGGGAGAGAGGAGGGGGGCGCTCCCTAAACGAAAAACATAAAAGTAAAGCCTACGGAGTAGAACACAACCATACGATGGTTGCACAGGAACCTCGGACAGCACTGGAAGTAGGCCAAAGAGCAGCAAATCAACCTATTTGTGTGTCCGAGCAGAAAAGGACATGATCCAGGTCGGCTGTGCCTTGCCAAAGAGAAATATAGAGAACCAAGCAACGATACGCAGTGGGAGGGGCAGATAGGGTGTGATATGGACAAATAAAGACCCAAGAAGTGAAAGCTCATTGGTTGGATTTTGGATAGGCGGATAGAATGGTTTCACCGTTTTCACGTGCATTGCTGTGAAGTCGCTGTAAAGCGCAGGGAATTGGATTGTTGTCAATAAGAGTATACTCACACTAGGCCCTCAAAATAACAAAATAACAAAACGAGCGGACAGATCGAGTACTTTGGTTACAAGGGCTCAATCTGGCAACTCGTTTTGCGATTTTGCGATTTTGAGGGCCTAGTGTGAGTATGCCCTAAGAGCGAATTGGAATGACGCTATGAAACTAACAAAAGGTTGTAATCCAGAACAGCGATTAAGTAATAGCAAATCAGAAATATAACCAGTAGTTTATTAAAGCGGGGCCAAAGTCTCTAGGCTACTCTCTAGCTATATCAGTGCCAAATCTGCCGATGCTAAATCTCGAGTCCTTGCAATAGTAGACCTAAACAATCACCGCAGATGCAGATGAGGAGAACCATTGGCTTGAGCCGAAGTCCAAGAACCCCAAGTTCAGCATTTGAGCACAACTTATGGGATAAAATGTTGTGGAAGTCACATCGATCAATCCTCCAGGCCCCCTTGAGAATCGCGAATGTTCTGAGGACATGCTCATCAGAAGATCCTTGTGAAGCATCACCACTCCAGCACACCTCCCTTGCATCTCACCACCATCTTGCAAAGTAAATTGTCACGGGTTAAATCACCAGTACTTGGCCCAGCTATCGGCCGCGGAAAGAAATAGAGTAGAACCGTTCCTAGTCAGATGAATTTGGGCGCTCCTGTAGTGGCCCATACATTTCTTAAAATTGTGGCTTGTTAACGGGCACAACTTTAGGAAGTACGGGTGGTTTAAGAAGAAAAATACACGATGGCACACTCGGTTTCTTCATCAAATATCATGGGGATGTCCTTGACATATTGTGATAACCTGACCACATCCCTGCGGGCGATGATGGCTTCACAGATTACATAGGTCTACCGTCTTCACCCGAATAGAACGCCCGGTCATTATAGCTGTATTTGGGGCAACTTTCAGTCTAGATGCAGAGATAATTACCAGGCGTTCTATTCGGGTGAAGATGGGAGTTCTTTCGTCCCCATGTTGAACCTTCTGATCACCTTGTGTGCAAGGGAGTTGTGAGAGTAGCCGTTATCCCCCATTGTCTTTGACAGCGTCCTCTTGACAAGGGTGTTGATTGGTATATGACCTTTTCTTTGCCTGTTTGAGAAAAACGAATTGCTCTGCAAATAGAAAAAGATCTTCACTTAAACCACCAGTACTTCTGAAAGTGCGGCCGTGAACGTGCCGGGAAGCGCTAGGATGCATGGGCCTGCGTTTCTGGGCTATATTCATTTGCACCGGCACTGTAGCAATGGCTGGCCGTTAACGCGCTGTGCTCTTCGGAAGTACTGGTGGTAGTTTAAACCCAAGGATGAATCTTGTGCAACAGGCACTCACCTCAGTATCGCTTCGGTCGCATTTCTCCTTGGAGCCGAAGGCAGCGTACCACACTGGCGAAAAGGGACTTCAAACGGAAGCAGCAAAACTGGAAAAAAAGGCGGAAAGTAGCAGACAGTTTGTTGGCCCCTATGCAGGGGCAACTACTCTCTTGAGACCGGGATGACCATTATTATTCAATTATTTGAGGAGGGGCGAGGCACAAGGAGGTGGGGGAAACCTTTGGAACAAAGGGCCGAATCTCAACAGATCGTGACGACAAGGCCGCTGTACTGCTTACAACACACCGTTTCCTGCCTAAGTCGTCTGCAAAGGTTTGGCTCCCCAAGTGAAAGAAATTGCGATGAAGAGAACCCTCACATGATGGTGCTCCGCGACAGGAGGAACAACCCACCATTGTCTTTGACAGCGCCCTGTTGACAAGGGCGCATTCGAGAAAAGCTGTGGAAAAAAAAAAAAAAAAGACGGTCTTCGCTTAAACCCGAAGTTGAATCTTGTGCAACAGGGAGATTACCATAAAAAATAGTTATGTTACGATCCTGACTAATGCAATGAATCACAAGTCAATCACCGTCAACCTCGTACACACATGCAATGAGCATCCTGATGATTATTCACACTTGGAGCCGATAACCGAGACACCGTTCACTAACTTTGAAGTGCAACAACTCAAAGAAAGACAATGCCGTTCAATTGCATCTGAAATGAGAGAACTTGGAAAGAGAAATAGACAAAGGAAGAAGGAGAAATAAGAATGGAAGAAGAAGAAGAAGAATGTGAACAACAGCAAAGACCAATGTCAATTCCCCCTTCTCTCGCCACCATCTTCAACCTCCAATTACTCCCCCAACTTCTTCTTAGCAATAGTAACCAGAACCAATATCCGAACCCTCTCCTTACTGCCCGCCACTGAAGAGGTCAACCATAGCCATCTCATACATCTTCCTCCTCCC